TGAGAATTCGAACCCAGGTCCTGGTGCACCCAGGTGAGTTTCGGAAGCATCCACCCCAGACCCCAATCCCAGCCCATGAAGGTCTCTTGCTGCGGTCGCAACCTACCTGCTCCCAGGGGTGTTGGAGACCGCACTGGAGGGGTGGCATGCTTGGGGAGGGCTGGCAGGTGGCTCTGGTGGTGAGGGGACTCCCGGGGGCCGGCCGCCCCACCTTCGCTCCCAGAGGGGGGAGTCCTCATCGACCCCCCTTCCAGGCTGGAGAGGGAAGGTGCAGACTGGAAGGAAGATGGAGCAACGAAGAGCTTTAGCCAAGGAAAGGTGTGGTGCTGAGAATTGTGGCTGCCTCTTGAACTCGGAACCCGGGGAATATGCGGACGGGGTGTTCTCCCACCTGCAACCAGCCAGCTCTGGAGGCCAAGGGAGTCTGCGCTCTGGGTTTAAGGAGCCAGGCCTTGTCCAGCTTTTACAAACCCATAAATACTGTTGCATGCACTGTTAGAAATTCAGATATATAAGCTAGGTGCCAAATGACTCTTCAAACCAAGGCTGCAGTTGCCAAAACAGAAAGTCTACTTGCCATTTTGGGGCCAGGTGGCCCTGAAGTCTTATTTTTCAAATAATGCACTGGCTGTGATTGATTCTCAGTTAAACATCTGGCTGGTTCAGAGGACAACCTTGAGCTTGGTTAAGAACTTTGAAGACTTAAAGAAGACACGCCACTTGCTCCGGTCCACATACATATTGGCCCATTCCAACCTTTTTTTTTGACCCTGAGATTAAGAGCCTCTTTCTCGGGGTCATTTTAATGTTTCGCTTTGCTTTTGTAAACTGCTTAGCGTTTGTCTTTACAATCAAGTGGTTTATGCATGATGGGGAATAGAGTAAAATGAAGCAAATGATGAACAGAAGTCTATTGATTTCAAGGGCTCTACTCTGAGTATAACTTAGCACCTAGTATTTAAAGCATGTAGTGGTTCAGAAATGCTTTTAAATAAATATTTCCAAGCAGAGCTGGAATTGCCTGTTGCCCGAAACCCAGAAGGCAGCTGATAGTGTCGGCAATATCAATGGTCTGAATCCTGTGCCCATTCTCTCCCTAAAAGCTGATACTCACACAGAGCTTGGGTTGGGCCAGAGTGAGGTCCACACCCTCGCCGAGTCGCCTCAGTTTCCTCGCTGGCTCCAGAGCTTCTTCCAGATCCAGGTCGGGACCTTCAATGCCCAAGCCCTTCCTTTTCAGGGTCTACGGAGTGCAGGCGACAGAGAAGGAGTTTTGGGGTTGGGGGGGGCAAACAATCAGCAACAATCCCCCCCTAGAAACGCCCACCCTCCTCATAAATAATACTGACCCCAACTGCAAACGATGTTCACATCCCACAAATGTGCAAGAAGGATAAGACAGCAAGAACAGGAAAAATATCTCGATAGACTGCAATGAATGATGTTGCTTTTATTTGATTTTTTTGCAGTGCTTTAATCAATGGACACTTAAGTAAATATGAAGGGGCCCATTCAACAGACCTCCAAGGTTAGAACGTAATATATTAAATGCAAAGAGATATAAAGTGAAAAGGTGCCCAGAACATCGCTTTTTGGCAACATTCCAATATCTCAGTTTGTTCTGTCTATTAAGTCTAGGGAATGTGAGCGGTTCAGTTTGCATTTAAAGCCAAAACATACCAAATTTGGCCTTTCCGGAATGGTACAAAACCCCAACCCCAACCGAGGTTTGCAAAAATGCATATATTTTGGGGAAAGGGTGCATTGAAGTGGATGGTGCTAGTGAACACAGCACGCAGGGTGGGCTATAGCATTAAAACACAACAGCAGAAAAACATTTAGAACAACTTTCAAATTCCTGCGTTGCAGGGGGTTGGACTAGATGACCCTTGGGGGCCCCTTGCAGCTCTGCAATTCTAGGATTCCATGAAAAGCGAATAGGTAAACATGCATTTTACCTCCAGGATGTCGGCGTTGGTCCGGCTTTCATGGGGCTCACTATACTCTGTGTATTTGAGAAGCACTTTGTCCATGTCTGTGCTGGCGTACTGGAAGAGCCGGTTGGCGCTGTTGAAGATGATGAGGGCGATCTCGCAGTCGCACAGGACGCTGAGCTCATACGCCTTCTTCATGAGCCCAAACTTCCTCTTGGTGAACGTGACCTGGAAGGGGAGAGTGGTGGAACCGCAGTGTCGGACGGGACACCCAGGGGTCATCCATCCCAACCCCACACAATGCAGGAGCTGCAGCTGAAGAAGCCCTGCTGGGAGAGGGGGTGTGGCCTAAGGAGATTCACGAGGGCCGGGCAGAGAGCTTTGGGGGCCCACATTCAGACCTTGGACCCGAGGCTTCCTCTCCTTGGTCCAGTCTCTACAGAGACTGTTTTTGGCTTTTGTTTTTAAAAAAGTGCTTACCTGCCGATTCCTTTGGTCCAAAATCCGGCTAATCTGGATCTTTTTCCGGCCCATTGCAATTCAGGGCAGATGGAGGCAGCTTTGTAGGGTAAAGAAAACAAAAATGTATGTTTTTACACACACGGTAGAGCTGGGTTGATATATTGACAAATGGTCTGAAACCAGTATGGCGTTAGATCGAGATGCCGGTTTCAGACAATTTGAGATAGGGAGGAAGAAGCAGCCAAGATGCTTTCCAGACATTGTGTTTTCTCAGTATACGGAGGTATTTAAGCTGCTGATATATCACGATGTTACCGGATCCTGCCCAGCCCTAATAATGAAGGAACTTCCAAATGGCCTTTGGGTTTTTTTTGCAGGTTTCAATCACGTACTGCAAAATCAGGTTACCCAATTTAACATGGACTTCTTGCAAAGACACTTCCTTCCCCAAAACCGGACTTTTAGTGAAAATGGAAAGCGTGGGGTGGCATTTTGCCTTTTCAAGCTCGTGGGGCAGGACCGTTTGTCAGAGCATTAAAATAACGTAAGAAGGGTCTGTTGGATCAGGCCAATGGCCCACCCAGGCCAGCATCCTGTTCTCGCAGTGGCCAAATACCCCAAAGAACCTGGGGAGCCAGATAGAGTGCCCCTGGACTGGGAGGTTCCATAGGAACATGCAAAGAGACTGGCTGAAGACAGACCATCACCACTGTGGCTAGTAGCCATCAATAGCTGTCTCCTCCATGAATTAGTCCAATCCTTCTTAAAAGCCATCTAAGTTGGCTGTCGCTGCTTCCTGCAGCAGTGAGTTCCACAGTTTAACGTTGCGCTGTGTGGAAAATTGCTTTCCTTTATCTGCTGTGATTCTTTCAGCAGAACATCTCTGCAGCAGCCACCTAGTCTCAGATGCTCAGATGTCCTCTAGCCCTGCCTGTAGAAATCTGCACTCAGCGCCTGACATGTAGCAGTTATAAACCTTGAATAAAGGGTGTTTTTTCCCTGACTTGCAGTTAACAGCCCCTCTTGCAGCATTTGTGGTGGAGCCTTTGCAAAACCTGAAAATTATTATTTTAAACTTCTCTCTCGCCCTTCCTCCCAAAGTTGACCCAAGGCAGCAAATGAGCAAATCAATTAGAAAGAAAACTAAACAATTATACAAACATCAAGAGTATCACAAACAAACAAACAAACATCTGTTGTGTCCTGGTACAGCCTTAGGGGCTGTACCACAGCAGGGGGTGAGTGACTTTTCTTCTTCCATGATCCCCAAAGCGGGGGAAACTCATCGCAAGTAGAAACACAGCACCACAGGGCAGCTGGCACACAACATCTCTCCCTTAGCTGCGATTCCCGCATCGTGGGGGGGCTGGATTAGATGAGCCCTGGGTATCCAGTCCCGCTCTACAATTCTATGACCTGAAATATACAAATCTGTTGCAAATCAAACAGCTCCATTTCCGGCGGTGGGTTCCGAATCACTGCTTTTAAAAAAAGTCCTCTTCAGGTCTTGTTCTGTCTTATTGAGCGCTGGGGACTAAATATAGCCAATCAGAACTAATTTTAAGTAGATGGGAGGAAGCAGTGACGCCGTTCCCACGACAGCGGACGTTTAGGTCACCACCCACACAGGGCGCCAAAAGGTAATTTTTTAAAAACACTGCCCAGAAAAATAGACACGGGACCCTCAGTTTGGTAACAGAGAACTCTGGAAACATTCCTGCAGGGAAGCCCACCCCCGTTCTCCTCTCCAGACCTCAAACATTGGGAAAAGTGCTTGTTTAAGTACTAAATTTTCCAACAGAATCATAGAACTGTAGAGTTGGGAGGGACCCCGGGTCATCTAGCTTAACCCCCTGCTGGATGGCTCTCACCACTAGGAAGTTCTTCCCAAGGTGCAGTCGGAATCTTTAGCAACAGCCATCAATCAAGGATGGGTCTCCTGCCAGACCCGGGACGGTGGGGAAATCCAATTCAGTCTGCATTTGAACCCGAATCTAGCCGATCTGTACCTTCCGAAACAACGCGCCCAATGAAGCACAGCTGTCCTTCGAGATTCACACTTCTCTGAGTTTCGCAGGGACAACCAAACTGCTTTTTACAAAAAGGCACCTGCCAGGGTAAAGCAGGAATAAAAATGCTACGTTGGAGAAAGCAGCTGCCCAGGCTCTGAGATCTTGTGGGGAGGCCCTTCTCCCAGTCCCGCCACCCTCTCAGACAGGGCCTTCTCAGTGGCGGCTCCTCCCAGGCAACTTAGGAACTCCCTCCCTGGGGAAGCCAGACTGGCTCCCTCCTTGCTCTCCTTCCGCAGGCGGGTGAAGACTCTCTTGTTCCAACAGGCTTTTGGGAACTGACTGTTTTTAATGAGGGAGCTGGTGCTATGCTAGTTTCATTTTAATTACCTGTATGTTTTAATAATACACACACACACACACACACACACACACACAGAGTTTTAATTCTAATTAGTACTTAATGGCTTTTTAATTATTGTTTCTCTCTCTCTAGGTTTTTAGCTGCTTCTGTTTATCTGTAAGACACCTTGAGCCCCTGTCTGGGAAGCAGGTGGGATATAAATAAATATAATAATAAAATGTGGTTGCTAACACAGCTTTGCTGGTAAAGCATGAGACTCTTAATCTTGGGGTTGTGGGTTTGAGTCCCACCTTGGGCAAAAGATCCCTGCATTGCAGGGGGTTGGCCCAGCTCTAGTATATAATATATCCACTTAGAAGACTTTTGTTTAAGGTTCAATTATGTAGGCTGACAATGGCATTAAGCACAATCCAGTCGATGTTGCAGCGCATGCGACACTTCAGGTCACAGCCGAGTTGACCAGCTGTGCCCTCTCTCATGTGCTCTTCGCTGTTCTCCATTTCCCCTTATTGGTTTATATAAACTTTAAGGTTTCTTTCCTTTTTTTTCTTTTTACAATCAAGTGTTGTGTACATTTTATGAAATAGATAAATGAATGAACAAAGGAACACTGAGAGAACAACGTGCAATCAGGTTGAATGACGAAGGAGCAGAGAGGCACCTGTTGTCTTTTAAATGGAAGAGTCGGCCAAAGTGAGACGAAGCCTTTGGTCCCACCTGGGATCCGGATCACCAGTCGCTCTGTAGGGCATACAGCTAATGTATTAATAGTTAATTTTTTATTATTTGTACGGCAGAAGGTCCTCAGTGCTGGACCTCAGTGTCCAGGCTGAACAATGGGGGCAGAGATGCTCCTTCAAGCATACAGGACCGAGGCCGTTTAGGTTTTTTATATACCGGTAATTTTTATTACATTTTCTGTTTTACAATTTAGAATATTCATTCAAACATCATTAAAATATCAATGACTTCCCCGCTTCTCTTTCCCTGATTCATTTTGCATGTCATAAATCCTTGCATATTTTACATAAACTAAACCATTCAGTATTCCATTATTACACCCATCAAAACTTATTTACACTGCTGAATTTATCTTAATGCTGCCAACGTTTTCAAGTGTACATAATTTCCCCCCATATATTCAATAAACATTTTCCAATCTTTGGCTGTTTAAGCCTTTAAAGCTCAGTACAGTGGTACTTTGGGTTATGAACTTAATTTGTTTTGGAGGTCCGTTCTTAACCTGAAACTGTTCTTAACCTGAGGTACCACTTTAGCTAATGGGGCCTCCCACTGCCGCCGCTCCACCGCTGCACAATTTTTGTCCTCATCCTGAAGCAAAGTTCTTAACCCAAGGTACTATTTCTGGGTTAGCGGAGTCTGTAACCTGAAGCGCCTGTAACCCGAGGTACCACTGTACAATCATACCTCATGTTACGTTTGCTTCATGTTACGTTCTTTCAGGTTACATCCTGCAGCGACCTGGAAGTACCGGAAAGGGTTACTTCTGGGTTTCGCCGCTCGCGCATGCACAGAAGTACTAAATTGTGCTTCACACATGCGCACAAGTGCTAAATTGTGCCGCGCACGTGCGCAGATACGGCGCTTCAGGTTGTGCTCTTTTCATGTTGCGAACGGGCCTCCGGAACGGATGCCATTCGCAACCAGAGGTACCGCTGTACCAACACTTTGAATGGTGCTCAGAAACGTACTGGGAGTCAGTGAGGATCCTTTAGGACCGGAGTTATATGGTCCCGGCAGCTGCTCCCAGTCCTCAGTCTAGCAGCCGCATTCTGGATTAGTTGTAGTTTCCGGGTCATCTTCCAAGGCAGCCCCACATAATAATAAATAATAATAATAATAATAATAATAATTTATTATTTGTACCCCGCCCATCTGGTTGGGTTTCCCCAGACACTCTGGGCGGCTTCCATAGAAACCAAAAATACACTAAAATATCACACATTAAAAACTTCCCTGAACAGGGCTGCCTTCAGATGTCTTCTGAATGTCAGGTAGTTGTTTATCGCTTTGACATCTGATGGGAGGGCGTCCCACAGGGCGGGCGCCACCACCGAGAAGGCCCTCTGCCTGGTTCCCTGTAGCTTTGCTTCTCGCAATGAGGGAACCGCCAGAAGGCCCTCAGGGCTGGACCTCAGTGTCCGGGCAGAACGATGGGGGTGGAGACGCTCCTTCAGGTATACTGGGCCAAGGCCATTTAGGGCTTTAAAGGTCAACACCAGCACTTTGAATTGAGCTCGGAAACGTACTGGGAGCCAATGTAGGTCTTTCAAGACCGGTGTTATGTGGTCTCGGCGGCTGCCCCCAGTCACCAGTCTAGCTGCCGCATGGTTTCCGAGTCACCTTCAAAGGTAGCCCCACGTAGAGTGCATTGCAGTAGTCCAAGCGGGAGATAACTAGAGCATGCACCACTCTGGTGAGACAGGGAGCAGGCCAGGAGGGTCTCAAATGGAGCTGGTAGACAGCTGCCCTGGATGCAGAACTGAGCTGCGCCTCCATGGACAGCAATGAGTCCAAAATGACCCCCAGGCTGTGCACCTGGTCCTTCAGGGGCACCATTACCCCACAAAGGACCAGGGATTCCCAACTCCCCAATACATCCCCCAGAAACAGCACTTCTGTCGTGTCAGGATTCAACCTCAATAACGCAGGCAGGAATAGCTTATGTAAGGAGCTGCCCAGTTTCATCAGCTGCTTCCTCCCTGGGAAACTCATTAGAGGAGGCAGGAAAGAGGAAGAGAAGGGGGGGAGTTGCTTGTGTGAGGGAGAGGGAAAGGCAAGAATGGCCTCCCCAATCATTCCCCCCTGTTTGCCAATTAATTTTTACTACATTTCAAAATTTCTAACAAATGAACATCAAATAAAACACATTTATAAGCTGACTTCCCTCCCCACCAGATTGATGTTTCACTTTTCATCCTTTATTTGCTGCTCAATATTACATCCATTTCCAATTTAGATTTCAAAAACTTTAAATATTTCAACATTTTGTCCTTAATTTTTTTCTATTTTCTTCTTATTCATTTCTCATCGACGGCTCTTTTTAAAATTCCTGCTAGACTTTTACTTTGCTGTAGCATAGCCCCAAATATCACAAAGAGTTACTTTTAGTCCGTCTACATAAAGCCTTAGTTATAAATCAGTAATCCACAAATACAACCCGTCTCCCCGATCATTTTCCTATAAGGGTTACTAAGAGCCTCAGAAACTGCCTTACAATCATAGAATTGAAGAGCTGGAAGGGGCCACCCAGGGTCATCTAGTCCAACCTTCTGCGACACAGGAATCTTCTGTGCAAGTTGAGGCTCGAACCCGCAACCCTGAACTTAAGAGTCTTGTGGTCTCCCGACTGAGCTTTGTCAGTGCATCCTACACTGACTGGCGTGAAAACTCTGTCCCTTGATCTACGTGCCATGGGAACTCTGCAAGATTCTAGTTCTCAAGAGGGGGTTTGAGAAATGTTGGAAGGCATGGAAATGAAAAGTGAAATCCATTATTTGGAGATAAAATTATCCCTCTAGGCTCAATAGAACTACCACAAAAGGGGAAGTGCATAATCTGAGATCCCCGTCAACATAAAAGCATGGAACATCCTCTCAGGCACAGAAGACAGCTTCTAGACCAGGGGTCCCCAAACTAAGGCCTGCGGGCCGGATAAGGCCCGAGGGACTCGTTTATCTGGTCCGCGGCAACCCCCGCTGCCCACTGTTACTGGTGCTGCGCTGCACGGCTGCCCGCTTCCAGGTCGGAGGAGAACCGGAAATAGGTTGTGCGCATGCGTTCCGAGACCAGGGAGAAGAGTCGGTCAAAGAAGACTGGAAGAAATTTAAAGACTATTTACAGAAATATTGTAAAATTAATGAATCTTAGAAGGATGTTGGATAGAAACCAAGAGGTTTTTAGCTGTAATGCTTTAAGAGATATGAAAAAAAGGTTTACAATTGGGCAAAAGTTTAATGGTAAGGATTTGCTGAACTAACAAACTGAACTGGAATACAAAAAAGGGAGGTATGAGGAGGTCCGGGGAAATAAGTCTAGGGAAGATAGGTTTGGAAAATTAATGTCTTTTTAACTGTTTTAGTTTGTATGTTTCTTTTTTATTTTTTACTTTTTTGTTATACTCTAAAAAACTTTACTCTTTTTTCTGTATTTTGTATTTTTTGTATTTTTTGAAACTTTAATAAACATCATTAAAAAAAATAGGTTGTGCGCATGCGCAAGAGTTATTTGCGCATGCACAAGTGTTATTTCCGGTGCACATCTGGGTTGGAGGAGGCCAGTGCACATGTGCACAAGCTACGTATTTCCAGTGCTCCTCCAACCCGGAAGTGTGCCAGAAATAGTGTGTGCGCACGCGTATGGGCACGCGTATGGGCACACGCTCCCCCGCCCTCCGACCCACCGTGCGATCAGCGCTGGAGACACCGGCCTGAGGTGCGGTAAGTTTGCTGACCCCTGTTCTAGATGGCCCTCCTCTTGGTATTTATACAGAAGTTAAGACCCGGATTTACAGAAGCCATCCTGGTTTTTTATTTAATCCCGGAATGTCCCGCTTTTCCTTAGGACGCCCCTGTTTACATCAGAGAAATGTAGGCGGGTATGTAAAAGATATGACTTAAAATAATTTTTTAAAATCAAATAAAGTAATATTCAGCAATCCATTAAAATATTATAGCACACAACAAAACTGATTCTCAAAATACCAGCAAATACGTAACTATTAAATAGAAATCCACTCCTATTTTGTTGTTCCTTCAGGCCATGTCTTTGCTTTTCAAAATGCATTGTGTTATTTTATGCCCTGTAACTTTTATTGATTACAGATTATAAATCAATGTAATTAAGAGTGAATTTCTGTTTAATTATTATTTGTTGATCTTTAATTTCATTGTGTACTATTATATGGTTTTCTAATGGATTATTGTGTTCCAGGATTTATTTGATATAAACTGTTCATTTTAAAGTTATGCATCTTTTGCTCTAGGAGGCTGTTTGATCAGAATTGAGTCTACACTTCCAGAGTTAGCGCTAAATACATTACTAAATAGTGGGGTTAAACCCCAGAGCCTAGGACTTACCAATCAGAAGGTCAGCGGTTCGAATCCCCGTGATGGGGTGAGCTTCCATTGCTCGGTCCCTGCTCCTGCCAACCTAGCAGTTTGAAAGCACGTCAAGGTGCAAGTAGATCAATAGGTACCACTCCGGCAGGAAGGTAAATGGTGTTTCCATGCGCTGCTCTGGTTCTGCCAGAAGCGGCTTAGTCATGCTGGCCACATGACCCGGAAAAACTGTCTGCGGACAAACGTCGGCTCCCTCGGCCAATAAAGCGAGATGAGCGCCACAACCCTAGAGTCGTCCGCGACTGGACCTTACAGTCAGGGGTCCCTTTACCTTTACCTACACTACTAAATACTAAATACATTGCTGGATTATGGAAAAAGCTGGAGAGTTCCAGAAAAACATCTACTTCTGCTTCACTGACTATGCAAAAGCCTTTGACTCTGTTGACCACAGCAAATTATAGCAAGTTCTTAAGGAAATGGGAGTGCCTGATCACCTCATTTGTCTCCTGCGAAATCTTTATGTGGGACAAGAAGCTACAGTTAGAACTGGATATGGAACAACTGATTGGTTCAAAATTGGGAAAGGAGTACGACAAGGCTGTATATTGTCTCCCTGCTTATTTTATGCAGAACTCATCATGCTTCGGATGGATGAATCCCAAGCCGGAATTAAGATTGCCAGAAGAAATATCAACAACCTCAGATATGCAGATGACACAACCTTGATGGCAGAAAGTGAGGAGGAATTAAAGAAACTTTTAATGAGGGCGAAAGAGGAGAGCACAAAGTATGGTCTGAAGCTCAACATCAAAAAAACGAAGATCATGGCCACTGGGCCCATCACCTCCTGGCAAATAGAAGGGGAAGAATCATAGAATCATAGAGTTGGAAGAGACCACAAGGGCCATCGAGTCCAACCCCTGCCAAGCAGGAAACACCATCAGAGCACTCCTGACATATGGTTGTCAAGCCTCTGCTTAAAGACCTCCAAAGAAGGAGACTCCACCACACTCCTTGGCAGCAAATTCCACTGTCAAACAGCTCTTACTGTCGAACAGCTCTTAAGAAATGGAGGCAGCAAGAGATTTTACTTTCTTGGGCTCCATGATCACTGCAGATGGTCACGAAATTAAAAGACGCCTGCTTCTTGGGAGAAAAGCAATGACAAACCTAGACAGCATCTTAAAAAGTGGAGACATCACCTTGCCAACAAGGGTCCGTATAGTTCAAGCTATGGTTTTTCCAGTAGTGATGTATGGAAGTGAGAGCTGGACCATAAAGAAGGCTGATCGCCGAAGAATGGATGATTTTGAATTCTGGTGCTGGAGGAGACCCTGGAGAGTCCTATGGACTGCAAGAAGATCAAACTGATCCATTCTGAAGGAAATCAGCCCTGAGTGCTCACTGGAAGGACAGATCCTGAAGCTGAGGCTCCAAGACTTTGGCCACCTCATGAGAAGAGAAGGAAGACTCCCTGGAAAAGACCCTGATGTTGGGAAAGATGGAGGGCACAAGGAGAAGGGGACGACGGAGGACGAGATGGTGGGACAGTGTTCTCGAAGCTACCAGCATGAGTTTGACCAAACTGCAGGAGGCAGTGGAAGACAGGCTCTCCTACCCCACTATTGAGGTGTGTTTCATCAACTCTACAATTCTATGATTCTGTGCTGAAGTACATCAGAAGAACCTTGCAGGCCCATCTAGTCCAGAATCATAGACTTGCAAGGGACCCCCAAGGGTCATCCAATCCAACCCCCTGCAAAGCAGGAATCTCAGCTCAAGCATCCAGGACAGGTGGCCATCCGGGCTCCACTTCAAAACCTCCAAGGAAAGGCAGCCTACAACTTCAAAAGCGAGTCCACTTTTTTATGGCAGAAATAAAATTTGATTTCTCTCTCAGTGTGTACCTGGTTTTGTTCTGAACTTTCCAAGCAACTTCCCAGGCCCAGAAAATTAGACTTAAGCACTGGCTGAACCTCCCTGCCATATGAAGACGACATTTATGGCTCTTTTGCATCTCGACAGAGTCTGCAAACTTTGTCCTCGGAGCCGTAATGAGAGCTGTGAGATGAGGGAGGGCAAAACTCCCCAGAGGTACTTTCTGTTATTTTTTCCATGCGTCTCAGCATGGCACATGGGTGTCGAGGGATAGGCGGCCATCGTTTGCCCTTGGAGGTGGGGTTAAGGGGGGTGGGTTAGATGACCCTGTGGTTGCCTTCCAGAGCTACAATTCTATGGGTCGCATCGCTGGGTCTGCCTCCATGTGGACGCACACACAAATTGATAGGGTCAGGATGAAGGGCTACAGCGCACTGAAAGTTTCAGAAGTGTGCAATTCAGCATCTATATATACGGACCTCCGGTCTCTTGCAAATTTTGAGGGGTGAAGGGGAGAAATCCACCCCCACCCCCCCGGTGTAGAGAGACATTCTAGTGGTGACCATTTTCCTCTTCAAAGTCCACTAGGATATCTGCACGGCATCATGGACAAGTATTGCCTCCCTGGGGAGTGGGGGTTTCCAGGGAGAACACCATCAGCGGGGAGCAAGTTTTGCACACATCCCTCACCTAAATTTTGCCTCTCCAGCAGCAAAAATACCCCCCTCCAATTCACCACTCACAACAAGGGCAGGGAAAAAGGTGTGTGCGAGAACGGCATTTTGGCCCAGCCCTAACTCTAGCCTTGCCTTTTCCCTGAAAAGCTAGATTTCTATGTGCAGGGATTTTAAAAATATCCAGTGAATCCTCTCAGTTTAGTAGTACAGCCCACACACAGGCTACCAACACAGTGAGGCCAGGAGGAAAGCCCCTTACTGGATGAGGCTCAGTAGCCTCAATACTCAACAGATGAGGACCTTCCAAACATCCCTATTTTCTAGGGACAGTGCCGGATTTACATAAGCTGTCATGGTTTCTGATTTGATCCTGGAATGTCACGTTTTTCCTTAGAATGTCCTTATTTTCACTGGACAGAGGTTGGAGAGTATGGAGTTATGTGACCCCCGAGCCAAGGAGATAACTATACAACCTTTAGAGGACATCTGAAAGCAGCCCTGTATGGGGACGTTTTTTAATGTTTCATTATGTTTTTATATATGCTGGGAGCCACCCAGAGTGTCTGGGGGAACCCAGTCAGATGGGCAGGGTATATATAATAAAATTTATTATTATTATTATTATTATTATTATTATTATTATTATTGAAAAGGACATCTCTATTGTCATCAGAGAAATGTTGGAGGGGATGTATCCTGATTTCAGCGCTGGACAGCCAACATTTCTGCCCAAGCAATTCAAGGTGGAGGGCAATGGGGAGAAAAAGGAAGCCCACCTTTGCGGCTTGTTCCATTCCAAGATAGACTGCCCCTCACTGTGAAGGTTCCACATGTTCGCTGGAGCTCAGCTCCTCTCAGTGCAGACCTTGCCTCTTTCCTGGGCCTTCTGCTCCTCCCTCCTTAGGATCCAACAGTCTCTCAGGGCTTACATCCCAGGATCTGGCCTGCACAGGTGTCCCTCGTCACCCCTGCTGCTAATTTCCCCGATAAATGTTTCTGGGTCATCCGCCCGTTGGAAAGTTAACAGAGCTGCTTGCTTCTCTCACAGTAGCGATGGGACAGCCTGTCGATTTCACTTGGTTTCTCGCTTTTCCGTGTTCAATTCAGGGACCCACTCTTCCCAAAATTGGCTTGACATTATTATATTTTAAAATCGCCCTGTGAAAACTAATCAGCATTTTACACCGAACACACACGTCTTTGGATGTGAATTTTGCCTAGCGGAAATCTTTTTTGCAAAGCCGTTTCCTCTTTTGACCCTCAATGGGTGTGTGTGTGTGATTGTACCTTACCCTTGTGTAAGTTGTTTTCAATAGTTTTCAATATGGTGTTTTAACACTGCAATCCACCAGGGAACCTTAGGGGAAAGGATACATGATACATGAACAACATATTGCATGGATTTGAGTGTGTGTTTTTTGTGGAATCTTCACCCTACTGTTTAAATATTTACGGAAATTATTCGGCTGGAGAGTGGTACCTGCAAGATTCGGCAAGGTGTGAATGCCAGAGGGTGGTTTGCGTTCCAGTTTACGGGTTGCTTCCAAAAGTGCGGATCATTTTCCTGGATTTTGCTGTTTGTTTGTTTGCGTCTGCCTGCTTCCAAACGCTTAAGCATGGGAAGAAGATAATGTGGAAACAAAATGCAAAAAAAAGAGAGAGCGCTGAAAATAAGAATGGAAGGCTGAGCCAAGGTCCCAAAATAAAACAGACGACAGGAAACCGGGGGATGAGGCTGGCCGTGACCACAAAAATAGGTAGCCAGGAAGAGCGGGGGGCCGGGGGGGTGTCTTGCCTTTCGGAAGCGCCAGTCAGGACCGTGTGTCAGAGAGCAAAAAGTCCCTCTCTGCCTTGAACAGAACGGCCAAGATTTGACCGGTTCAAAAATGCTTGGGGGGACCCCCCCCCCCACCACAAAGCTCTCCCCACAAATAGCACAACTGCGCTGCAAATAAAGACAGCATCCTCTCCTTAGAACATAGAGAGAACTCTGCTGGATCAGGGCAAAGGGGCTCCTCTAAGCCAAGCGTCCTAGAATCACTGATTCATTGCATTGTCAAGTTGGAAGGGGCCACGAGGGTCATCTAGTCCAACCCCCTGCAAGGAGAGAATCTTTTGTCCAGTATTGAACCCACAACCCTGAGATTAAGAATCTTGTGCTCTACCCTCTGGGCTATCCCAGATGGTAGTTGCTTGACGAGGGTGCAAAAAGGGCTGGTGAGGGAGCTGCAGGATAGGTTCAAGGGCCGCATAGAGAGGACTCTGAGGGCCACCCACATTCCACACCCCCCCCAATATCCATTCCTGCTTTACAAAGATGCCCACAAAGTGGATATAAAGAGGGGCACCTGGTAAATCCACCTGGCCAGCCACCCCTTCCTAAATCCTTTGCAGCCTCTTGTGAATTTTATAATTTGATTTTTCTCGTGGTTGTGCTGTTTAATGTGCTTTTAAAGTTGTTTTGTTAATAGTGTGAGAATCTTTGTTAATAGAATATTTCACCCAATGCAGGGCTCGAACCTACGACCCCCGGAATTAAGAGTCTGGTGCTCTACTGACTGAGCTACCCAAGTGCTGTCCTGATCTCACAGCTGCCCCAAATGGCAAGCAGGATGCGAGATCAACAGCCTCGGCCGTTCCAAGGAAGACTGGCTCTGTCCATGGAAGCTCCATTTAGGAAGCACACATGATTTCAATCCTCTCAAGAGCATCCCAAGATTTGAGAAAATTCATTTTAAAAATGCTCATGAGGTCAGCTCCCTGTCTCATGTCTAACAGACTCCCCCACCCTCGCCGCTGGTCAAAGTGACTTTCCCCACAAACTGCTCGTCTGGAATGCGATATGTGCAAGAAGATCGCCAAATATCCAACAGCAGCCAGAATCTTATCTGCGAAGAACTGGAAAGAAAGTCCAGAGAAAGAAGAACGGCTCCTACAAATCAGCGCTCTCTGCAGAACTGGCAAAGCTAACAGCGTGAATAAGATATCTGCACGATGGACAGTTTATGGCAGCGTGGAAGCCTTTGGGGTTTATTTATTTATTTTAATATAGCAATTAAATGAAATCACGGGCAGGATTTGAAATCTGAGCAACGCGGAGAAACGATAATATGTGAAATAGAGGAATGTATCTTAGATGACATGCGCAATGTAATAGAGGAATATGCAGGACCTGGGAGCCAGGTTCAGATTCCACTAGGCCACAAAACTTGGTGAGTGATTCTGGAGCTGTTGTTGCCTTGGCCAACCTTGCAGGGTTGCAGTGGGGATTAAATGAGGATGGAGAAAACCAGGTATGCCTCTCTGAGCTCATGGGGGGGGGGGGCTTAAATGCGATATATATAAAGTCCCTCCAAGCACATTAACAGCTGCATTCCTTATTTTTAAGAATGATTTACGATCTGAAAAACTGTCGGTTCAGAGGCCAAAGGCTCAAGAGTTTGATACTTGGGTGTTTGGCAGCAAAACGCTCAGCAACGTATTGGGATTCCGAACTTAAAAACTCATCTAGAGATTATCAGGCTCACCCTAATACATCAGGTTGGGGTTTTTTTCTTGGCCTCTACAGAAATAGTCATTTTTATTTTTATTTTTAAAGTCCTGGCTTCTGCGTCACGCACAGAAATGCCACCTGGCCATGCTGATTCTGGCTAATTTCTGGAGTGACACAGAGTGAAAGTCGCAGTTTATTTTGGGGGGGTAGCAGTTCCCCATTCGCTGTTCCGGTCACAAGCCTCCTCTGCAAAGTGGTCGGCGTGGGGGGTGGGAAGGGGGTTTATACTGAGACAGGGGGCGGAGGGGGTGGGAATCCCACCCAGCCTGAAGAAAGAAAAATGACCTAAATCCCAAAGTGAGATGGAGCCTCCTCAGGCAGGGAAAATCTACCTCTGGACATCAGACTGGGGTGAGAGAGAAAATATTGCGGGAGTGTTTACATCTTCAGGTCCTGTATCCCTGAAGGGGCGTCTCCACCCCCATCGTCCAGCCCAGACACGGAGGTCCAGCTCCAAGGGTCTTCTGGTAGTTCCCTCCCTGTGAGAAGTGAAGTTACAGGGAACCAGGCAGAGGGCCTTCTTGGTGGTGGCGCCTGCCTTGTGGAACGACCTCCTGTCAGATGTCAAGGAGATAAAGGACTGAGTTTTAGAAGACATCAGAAGACAGCCCTGTATAGGGAAGCTTTTCATGTTTGATGTTTTCTTGTGATTTTATGTTTTGCTGGAAGCCTCCCAGAGTGGCTGGGGAAACCCAGTCCGATGGGCAGCATATAATAATAATAATAATTATTATTATTATTATTATTATTATTATTATTATTATTGCCAATAATATTGGCAAGCAACTGTTTGGCCAACCGTGGTGGGTGGAAGGATGTCATAGAATCATAGAATCATAGAGTTGGAAGAGACCACAAGGGCCATCGAGTCCAACCCCCTGCCAAGCAGGAAACACCATCAGAGCACTCCTGACATATGGTTGTCAAGCCTCTGCTTAAAGACCTTCAAAGAAGGAGACTCCACCACACTCCTTGGCAGCAAATTCCACTGTCGAACAGCTCTTACTGTCAGGAAGTTCTTCCTAATGTTTAGGTTGAATCTTCTTTCTTGTAGTTTGGATCCATTGCTCCGTGTCCGCTTCTCTGGAGCAGCAGAAAACAACCTTTCTCCCTCCTCTATGTGACATCCTTTTATATATTTGAACATGGCTATCATATCACCCCTTAACCTCCTCTTCTCCAGGCTAAACATGCCCAGCTCCCTTAGCCGTTCCTCATAAGGCATCGTTTCCAGGCCTTTGACCATTTTGGTTGCCCTCCTCTGGACACGTTCCAGTTTGTCAGTGTCCTTCTTGAACTGTGGTGCCCAGAACTGGACACAGTACTCCAGGTGAGGTCTGACCAGAGCAGAATACAGTGGCACTATTACTTCCCTTCATCTAGATGCTATACTCCTATTGATGCAGCCCAGAATTGCATTGGCTTTTTAGCTGCCGCGTCACACTGTTGGCTCATGTCAAGTTTGTGATCAACCAAGACTCCTAGATCCTTTTCACATGTACTGCTCTCAAGCCAGGTGTCACCCATCTTGTATTTGTGCCTCTCATTTTTTTGCCCAAGTGCAATACTTTACATTTCTCCCTGTTAAAATTCATCTTGTTTGTTTTGGCCCAGTTCTCTAATCTGTCAAGGTCGTTTTGAAGTGTGATCCTGTCCTCTGGGGTGTTAGCCACCCCTCCCAGTTTGGTGTCATCTGCAAATTTGATCAGGATGCCCTTGAGTCCATCATCCAAGTCGTTGATAAAGATGTTGAATAAGACCGAGCCCAAGACAGAACCCTGTGGCACCCCACTAGTCACTCTTCTCCAGGATGAAGAGGAACCATTGATGAGCACCCTTTGGGTTCGGTCAGTCAGCCAGTTACAAATCCACTGAGTGGTAGCATAGTCAAGACTACATTTTACCAGCTTCTTTACAAGAATATCATGGGGCACCTTGTCAAATGCCTTGCTGAAATCAAGGTAGGCTACATCCACTGCGTTCCCTTCATCTACCAGGCTTGTAATTCTGTCAAAAAATAAGTCATGTCAGACTAACCTGATCTCGTTTTTTGACAGAATTACAAGCCTGGTAGATGAAGGGAACGCAGTGGATGTAGCCTACCTTGATTTCAGCAAGGCATTTGACAATGTCAGAATATATGTGTGTTTGCTTTGACACCCAACAAGACTCGTTATATGACATTCTATTGGGATTGAACCTCCATGTGCAGGGGCAGTCTACAACAAGTTGCTCAATGCTGGACACCAGGAATTCAATGAGGGCTGTTTCATAGAACTGGAAGGGACCCTGAGGAGCATCTAGTCCAACCCCCTGCAATGCAGGAATAAGCAGCTGTCCCATAAGGGGATCAATCCTGCAACCTTGGCATTATCAGCACCACACTTTAACCAGCTGAGCTATCCAGTTTCATCAGGCTTGTGGGCTGACCACCGTTGGAGAAAGGACTTAGGTGGACCTGTCGTCTGAATCCAGTGAGGGTGATGGCCACTTAAGACTGCAAGCCTAACCCTACTTACCTGGGAGCAAGCCCTATTAAATTCTACTTCCAAGTAGACCTGGTTAGGCTGTGTAACAGAGACATTGTCTACCCTGCTCAGAGAACACTGCAGTCTGGCCTCCAAGGCTCCGCCGCCCAAATTTAAGATTTTAGAATCAGATCTCTGGATATGCAGAGTGGGTTTTGTTCCAGCAGCTAAGGCACGGGGGAGAATTTTGATCCAGTTCACATTTAAATCGATCAAATCTGCGGTATCAAAAAAATAATAATGCAAGAAGCAGGACGCAGGCGTTCTTGGAGATTCACACTTATCCAAATTTTGCAATGCAGTTTTCCAAACACGAATATCTTAGTACCTAAAAGTTAAGACAACCTACAAAAATACTTTGCATGAGGAGATATTTCCTAGTTGAAACAACCTACAAAAATGTGTTTATTCTTTTTTGTTTTTTTATTTGTTGCATTTATATCCCGGTTTTTCTCTAATCTCTACAACATCCCTGTGAGGTAGGTTAGAAGCTTAGAAGCAGTGACTAGCCCAGGATCACACCCACTGAGCTTCATGCCCAAGCGGATATTCCAACCCTGGTCCTGGGTCAATATTCTAGCCACTGCAACAAACTAGAGAAATTCGCACTAAATTATTGGAGATTTTTTTCTTCAAACTTTTAAAGACAAATTGCTACAGAAATGCAGGGAATAGAATTTAAATTCAAAAAATGAGAAGCTTAGATCAAAAAATGACAGCAGTTTATAAAATTATGCTAGGCATGGAGAATGTGGACGGAGAAAAGTTTTTCTGCCTCTTTCCTAACATTTGAACTCGTGAAAATCCAAGGAAGCGGAATACAGGAAGGTTCAGAAAATAAAGTCTTTCTTCACACAGTGCAGAGTTAAACTATGGAACTCCCTCCCACAGGGATGTTCACCAGCCCAGGTGCATTTTTTAGGGGCTGGGGGGAAATCAAGGTTTATAGCCCTCCTCTGATCTAGGCCTCACTGTCATTTAACTAACGGATACCAAGTTCTGAAACAGCGGCTACAGAGGAAGAGGGGAACTGCAAATAACAACAATAATCACAAATTAATTCTCTCTACAATTGAAATGCCTGGGAAAGTTTCCATTGCCAAAACTGTCAGATCTCTGGGGAGAGTCTCCTTTCCAGAAATTAATTTCAGGTGGGGAGGAGAGAAGCTGGAGGAACATTTACTGCTTAATGCTCCCTTGTGGGGAAGGAGCACGATTTCGGGGGTTTTCCCACTTAAGAAGGTCTCTGCAGCAGGTCAAAGGGACCCATCTAGTCCAGTTTCTGGTCAAAATAAGTGACCAACCAGATCCCACCCCCGGAAAGGGCTGCCTTCAGGTTGTATTGTATTTAATTATGGGGTATCAGAGTTTTTAGGGAGCTAACCAGGCTGGGATAGCAGGCTTGTTGGTTTCTGAATGTCTGGTGTAGATTTTCAGTTTCGTTGTTCTGTATGGGACAATGACAATAAAGATTATCGTATTGTTTAGTTAC